TGGCTGAAAATGTGAGCTGTGGATTTTTCTCTTCACCGAACAGTCTGCAAAGGCCAGACACAGCAAACTTTCTCTCCTGAACCTTCTAAATAGCAATCTCAGGAGTTACTAAGGTTTTTAGAACTTCTTTTTCTTTTTTTTTTTTTTGGTCTTTTTGAGACAGGGGCCCCCCGTAGCCCCAGTTGGCCTGGAACTCAGAGATCCGCAGACCTCTGTCTCCTGAGTGCTGGGATTAAAGGCTTGTACCACCACACCCGGCTAGAATTTCTTTTTCTTAATAACAAGAGAAGAGTTTATTAGAGAATGCGGACATTAATAAATTAACATTTCTATGACTTGTCCCAGCAGCACTCAGAAGGTGAAGACAGGAACATGAGAAGTTCAATAGCCTCACTTACACAGCAAATTTGAGAACGTGTCTCAAAAAAAAAAAAAAAAAATTAAGCTCGGTATAGTGGTGCATGACTTTAATCCCAGCACTTGGGAGGCAGAGGCAGGCCGATCTCTGTGAGTTTAAGGCCAGCCTGGTCTACACAGCGTTCCAGGCCAGCTGGGGCTACATGGTGAGACCTTGTCTCAATAATAATAATAATAATAACAACTACTTTAAAAATAAGGCTAGAGATGCAGCTCAGTTGGCAGAGTGATTGCCTAGCACCACATAAAGCTGGACATGGTGATGGTGATGCATGCTTATGATCCCAGGCATGGGCGGTGAGGCAGAAGGATCAGAAGTTCAAGGACACTCTTGGCTACATAGAAAGCCAGGCTGGGCTACATGAGACCTTGTCCAAAAACAAACAAACAAACAGAAAAGTAAATTAAAAGGCCAAAAATATATCCATCAATCCATTTTGAACAATTTGGAACATGGGTTTCCAGTGGCAGAAGAAACCACCTTTCAAAGGAACAGAACAAAAGCATTAAAAAAAAGTTCACCAAATAGAATGAAAAAATAGAAGTGTGGTGGAGACGCCTTTAATCCCAGCACTTGGGAGGCAGAGGTAGGAGCTCTATGAAATCAAGGCCAGCCTGACTACTTGGTGAGTTCCAGGCCTGCTGGAGCTATAGGGAGACCCTGTCTCAAAAAAGACCGAAAGAGAGAAAGAGAAACAGAATTCCTTTAAAATAAATTTATTTTCATATGCATAGTAACCACAAATTTTTTTATTTAATTTTTTTATGTATATGAGTGCATTGCCTACCTGAGGAGATCAGAAGAGGGCACTGGATTCCCCTGGAACTGGAGTTAGACATTTGGGTGCTGGGAATTGAGCCCAGGTCCTCTACAAAAGCTGACAGTGCTCTTAACCACCGAGCCATCTCTCCAGCCCCTTAACCTCAAAATTTTCTCTTATAAGAAGAAGCATTTCATTACAGTTTTAACATATTCAGTAACACACTCCAGAGCAAGAGTACATCTCTTTCACAAGTGGCTGTAAGTTTCTAGGTTCACAGTTGAATTAACAGTTATACAATATTGAACTCAGTATAAGCCCCCGGAGAGAGACCTGAGGGTCGGAGAGAACCACAAAATTTTTCAGCAGTACTAATTAGCACTGGAGCTGTCCACAAACCTTAGTTTACAGTCTCTACAATGTCAATTTTATTACTGTTGCTGCTCTTGTTGTTAAACAAGGTTTCACTCTGTAGTCCAGACTGGCCCTGAATTCACCAAGGTCCTACTGCCTCAGGCTCCTGAGTGCTGGGATTACAGGACTAACCTAGCAACAAAGTCTCCCTGTAGCCCCAGCTGGCCTGGAACTCACTATGTAGACCAGGCTGGCCTCGAACTCAGAGATTCGCCTGCCTCTGCCTCTCAAGTGCTGGGATTAAAGGTGTGTACCACCATGAGCAGCTAAACTGCTTTTGGCTGAAACAAAATATCCTAACCTTCTAAAATTAAGCCAAATCAACAGCTGAAACACTGGTTGCTAGTGACTGATTGGCTAGAATTACCTCCGCTGTCTAACATCATATTCTCAAACACAAGCTATAAGCACACATAAGCTTAACATCGATCTTCCCTTTTATACTGAAAAGTTCACAGAGGTGAAAGACGCCTGGAAGGAGAAAATGAAACAAAAAAAGCAAATTTTATGTAAGTGGGCAGAGGCAGGAGGCAAAGCTACCCTGCTGAGGAGCCAGGACACAGACGCTGCTATCCTGCTGAGGAGCCAGGGCATGGACGCTGCTATCCTGCTGAGGAGCCAGGGCCTAGACGCACAGGGCAGACTCAAGTTGGCTGCTTTCTTTCCCACCAGCTGCTCAGGAGGCACTGTCTGCAATTCAACACCATGAGCACTCCCCAAAACCTGGACCCAAGCCCCAACTCATCACACCCCAATGCTCTCTCTCCATTTACAATGAGGAAATTCTGTCTCCAAGTTATTGCACATAAAGGGAGGAGTCCAACTTCAAGACAAGTTGTTCAAAGTCTGGGACTAAGTTTGATGTAACTTTACAATAACTCTGCCTGAATTTGCTTTCAGCTAAACATTTCCAGTAATCTTCTTTCCCAACACACTGTATCAGAAATCTTTACTTCACCCAGCCTGGATACTTAGAAAACTAGACTAACCACAAAAGTCCACCAACCACATGGATTCAAGTGGTATTTCTTAAGTTGTCTTTCCTAAGTATTAGGGACACTAAGTGTATCAAAAAGGCATATAAATATTTGCAGCGCAGTATTTTCGAATTTGTTTAACCTTTTTCCGAATTAAAACTTCGTCTGAATTAACACAACCAGTGAGTGACTACTAGACATTTCTATTTTCAACCAAAATCGGGAGTCTGAAATTGTTTGGGGTTTTTAGCCGACTTGCAACATACAGCTTCGAAATACCCACACTTTTGCAGACACTGTTCTTGCTCAAAACTTTCTTGGTTGGAAAAACGATCAAGTCCAAGGGGTGTCATTAAAAAGCCACTTACCCGATCCTTCATCCGCCAGCTCTGAGCTAGGGATTTGGAGCCTTCAATTTTCTCACAATGCCTTTTTTTCATAAAAGCCAAAGGCAGGTTCCAATCCGTAAGGTCGGCCTCATCTTCCTCCCCGAGTCCCAGAAGGGGCGACTGGAGCATCTCCGACTCCATAAGGGGGGGAGGGGGAGGGGGAGTCCTAGGCAGCAGGCGCTCGAGAACCTCCAGCCTTAAAAACTGGTGTGGACCCGACCTTAAAAACTGGTGTGGGCCCGAAGTGGGGGGGGGGGGGCAGTCGGGGAAAGAGATGGTTGGAGACTGTGCGACGATCCTTATTCAGCACAACCTGGAGATCTTCAGCTCCAACTCAGCGCGGGAAGCCGGAGGGGGCGGGGGAGGGAGGCCGGGCCGCCAGGAGCTCGGAGCCGCAGTCTCGGTCGGGTCCCAGGCCACGGGCTGCTCAGCGGTGTCGGTTCCCAGGGCAGCGGGCCGGGCGGGAGCGACGGCGGGCCCGGTGCTGACCCTGCTCTTGGCCTCCAACGCCTCGGCGGATCCCAGAGCGGGCAGGCCCGGGCGCTCGTGGGGCGGCTCGTCCAACGGCGCCGGCCGCACTGAAGCCTCTGCGGTCCGGTTCGGGGCGGCTCGGGGCTAGCCTAGCGTCTCAGCCCTGCGGGTCCCGCACTCGCCTGAGGGGTTGCAACCTGAGCCAGTACCGGCCCATCGTGCCCGCCCGCCCGCAGCCGGCTGCTCAGCGGATCCGCGCGGCCCTCGGCCCTCTCTCCTGTCCACGAGCGATTCCAGAGACACTTGCGACACGGACCCGCGGACCACACCGGAGAAGTGGGCTTATTAGGACGGGGGAGTTTGGCCCTCTGGTCTGGAGCAACAGTGAAACTCTCATCAGCACCTCAAGGAGGACGCCATATTGACAAGGCCCAGCATGCACCGCGGTCTACGGCGTGGCCGGTGGGCCAAACTTCTTCAAACGTTCTCACTGTGCTTCCTAGGCGTCAGGAAAAGAATGTCAAGTTCCCGCCCCCGGTTACCCGGGTTACCACACCAGTTCTCGCTAGGCTTTCGCCGCCATTCGTTCATTAGATGTGTAGTACAATAATCAATCCTGCGATTGAAATTATATCCATTCAGTTATTCTAAAAAGCCTTCTGTTGCTACAAAGCAAACTACATGCGTCTAAATTAAAGACGCACTTTGTTTCTTCCTGATTTTGAAAAGGTGTTTAAAAAAACAGCTTCCAAAAGAACCATTAATAATTATCACGATTGTTACGATTTTCTTTTTAATGTTTCAATTTTTGAAAGACAGAAACAACATCGATTACATTTTTTTGGTCTGATCTAATTTTCTGAGCAGTTTATTATTTTGATACAGTCTCATGGGCAGCTGTAGCTGTCTACCCGCAGAGACAATCCTGCTGCATTATTCCTCCATTTCAATCCAGTAAATCTCAGTTATTGGCCATACGTGGAGAATTGTGTTGGCGCAGTGGGAATATAAACAGAATGTGGCCTGCGGTGCTAGCCTTGCATAACCAAGATGCTAGTGAGACATTCTTTAGCGTCGGCTAGCGCTCAGGCGAAGGGGTCCATCTCATTTCTACCTTGCTTCGGTGCCAAAGGAGCCTCTTTTAGAGTCAGTTTTGTCACTTTCAAACTCTGTGACCTTAGTCAACCCCTTAACAAGTTCAGCCTTAATTTCTTCATCCGTAAGATTTGGATAGTAATATTAAAGGACGTTACTGGAAGGCTAAAATTAGCTTGCAAAAGTGCCTAGGACATAGCAAGTCACCGCACTGGTCCGTTCTACAGCTACGGTGCAGTCTACCAACTGTGTGCCTTATTCAACTGGCTTTGGTCTCCTGCAGATACTGTTTCTCCGGGTAGACCCAGGGTTGGATACAATGTGGCAAGTCCATATTACAATCCTAGTGGCCTCTGAGCTCCTCTCAGCCCAAGAATGAATGCTGCAATCCCACATCTTTCTTACCCAGAACATAGAAAGTTTAATCCAGTCCTCTGTTTATCATTCCAAATATTCGCTTGGTTACTATATCACACAGTCTCCCACTGAATCTAAAGGCAATGCACCAAAACACAAAAGGACCCTTACTCTTACCCTTCTTTTCCCTCTTTCTAGTGGCACAGAGAATGTACCCACAGCCACCAGCAGAAGATTCAGGACTGAACCATCTAAGAAAAAAAAATCATAGCACCTCCTGCATTTACCTTATCCCTCTGTCCTGTTTCATGGTCCTGCAGCCGGCAGGTACCATGCCCACATGGCCCCTCCTTCAACCTTGGGTTGCAGAGATCTCTGCTCCAGCCACTCTTACAGGAAGCCCTAGCTACAGAAAAGCAGGGACATTAAATCCTCTCATTCCTAACTGGCTCTGTGACCTGGAAAAACCATTTCATTTGTCTAACCACCTGTAAAAGGTGAGAACTTGAGAAACCAACCCATCCACTACTAGATATTCTAAGAGAAGGTGGCAACAGATTAAGGAGCTGGCTATAGGCAAAGAGAACATGAGCAGGATCCCACAAACTCAAAAAAAAAAAAAAAGAACAAAAAAGAACACTACATGTGGAGCTGGGTAGATGGCTCAGTAGGCAAAGCACTTCACAAACTCAAGGACCTGAGTTCAAGTCCCCAACACCCGTGAAAAACCAGATGCAATAGTGTGTGTCTGTAATCCCAGGACTACTCCTACTGCAAGGTAAGAGGTGGAGGCAGAAAACTCGGAGGCTGGAAAGCCAACTGGGCAAACCCCACAGTGAAGAGCAAGAGAAAACAAGTGGAAGGTAAGGACCTGCGCTCAAGTCTGTCTTATAGCCTCTATATTATGCACTATGACACACACCTGCACTCCCACATATGAACACACATACATACACAAGAGCCAGGCATGCCCAGCCAAATCAGCAAGTTCCAGGCCAGTGAGACCCTAATGGGTCAAAAAAAACAAGATGGGGTGAGAGGAAAAACTCAGCAGTTAAGAACACTTGCTGCTGTTGCAGAAGACCAGAGTGGTTCCCAGCACACACATCAGGCTGTTCACAACCACCTGTAACTCCAGCTCAAGGAGATCTGACACCCTCTTCAGGCCTCCACAGGCACATGCACACATGTGGCAGACACACAGACATACACCTGCCCATAAATAAAAATTATCTTTTGCGGGTGTGGTGGTGCACACCTTTAATCCCAGCACTCAGGAGGCAGAGACAGGTGGATCATTGTGAGTTTGAGGCCAGTCTGGTCTACATAGCAAGTTCCAGGCCAGCTGGGGCGTGTGTGTCTGTAATCCCAGGACTACTCCTACTGCAAGGTAAGAGGTGGAGGCAGAAAACTCGGAGGCTGGAAAGCCAACTGGGCAAACCCCACAGTGAAGAGCAAGAGAAAACAAGTGGAAGGTAAGGACCTGCGCTCAAGTCTGTCTTATAGCCTCTATATTATGCACTATGACACACACCTGCACTCCCACATATGAACACACATACATACACAAGAGCCAGGCATGCCCAGCCAAATCAGCAAGTTCCAGGCCAGTGAGACCCTAATGGGTCAAAAAAAACAAGATGGGGTGAGAGGAAAAACTCAGCAGTTAAGAACACTTGCTGCTGTTGCAGAAGACCAGAGTGGTTCCCAGCACACACATCAGGCTGTTCACAACCACCTGTAACTCCAGCTCAAGGAGATCTGACACCCTCTTCAGGCCTCCACAGGCACATGCACACATGTGGCAGACACACAGACATACACCTGCCCATAAATAAAAATTATCTTTTGCGGGTGTGGTGGTGCACACCTTTAATCCCAGCACTCAGGAGGCAGAGACAGGTGGATCATTGTGAGTTTGAGGCCAGTCTGGTCTACATAGCAAGTTCCAGGCCAGCTGGGGCCAATGGGGAGACCCTGTCTCAAAAAGACGCCCCCAAATATATAAAAATAATCTTTTTCAAAAACAGTGTGGGGGGCTGGAGAAATGACTCCATTGTTAAGAGCAATGACTGCTCTTGCAAAAGACCAGGGTTCAGTTCTGAGCACCCACATAGCGAACAACCATTCATAACTCCAGTTCCAGAGGATCTGACCCTCTTCTGACCTCCTCAGACATTGCACACGTGGTGCACTTATATGTATACAAGCAAAACATTCATACACATAAAATAAAAATAAATAAATTTTAAAAAAATTTTGAAACAAAAAACAAGGTAAATGGCATTCTTAGAAACAACCTCTGGTCTACAAACACACATATATTCGCACACATGAACACACATGAAATACACAAAAATAAAAAAGAGAGACATCAGGCAGCAAAGGAACCCCCCAGAGTCCAAACAGGGTTGGTGGTCAGTACTTTTTCATGAAATTTTAAGCAGGCTCCGCCTTAGTCCACTGAATGGGGGGCAGGAAAGCGGAGACTCGGGGTCCGAATTTTTCACTCAGGTAACCCTGATGAGTGCATGGAAGTAGCCAGGGCTGTGGACGGGAGATAGGACTCCCTCCAAATGTCCTCCAGTAGCTGAGTACCACCATAGACACACACACACACACCACAAACAAAACATACAACACATATACCACACACATACTATGTACACACACTACACATACAACATATATACAATATATGTTGTACATATATACCACACATACACCATATACACAGAACACACACACACACACACACCACTGTTGTACAGGGCTGTCGGCCATCTTCCTGAGCTCTTCCTGAGCTCAGCTATGCCCACTTGCCAAAAATCCTCACAGCTGGGCTTGCTGACCATTCACGTCTCAAATGAAAGGAGGGGCAGGGAGAGTCTTGGGACCCTCACCTGAGTATCCAGCTAGACCTGTCAACCCGTAACTAGCAATTTGGCTCTAATTGTATAAGACCCAGGGGAGGAGCTAGGGTAAGTAGGCTGGGGGACTAAGAGGGGCCTCTTGCCACTTTACGCAGCTCTTCATGGGGAAGCCATCACCCACGCTTGGGTGAAGATTTTCCAGTGTGGCCTTAAGGGGAGCACTCACACTCCTGTAAGTAAACCCTCACCCACTGCCCTATAAGTAAGCCCAAGAAAATCACTGGTTTCCCAGAGTGCATTTTGGTGGAATCGTACCTTGGTTTGTATTGGGATCAAGGGAGGTGCCCCCAATCCACTACAGTTTCTGCCCAAGACATAGGTGTGGGTGTTCCTCAGCCAAGTGCCTCTGAAAGCACCAGGGAGGGTCAACATCAGGCTACATATTCCAGCAGGAAGAGAGGAAGGGCTTCTAGGCTCCACTCTAACCCAACCTAGCAGAAAGACTCTTGACCTGCCAGACAGCCGGAGAGCAACATCATCCAGCAATATGAAAGTAGATCACATGACCCCTGCCAGTCCTAAAACTTTCACTGCAGGCCTAGAGAGACAGCCTTGCAAGCTCTAAACCTGAGTTTGAGCACCAGAACCTATGTTAAAAAAATAATCAGGGGCTAGAGAAGTGGCTCAGGGGTTAAGGCCACTTCTTGTTCTTCCAGAGGACCTGGGTTCAACTCCCAGCACCCAGATGGCGTCTCTGGCTCTGTCGTCCTCTCCTGGCCTTTGCAAGCACTACACACACACACCAATAAATATACCAGGAATCAAAATACTTGTACACATAAAAATATCGTTTTGTAGCCGGGCGTGGTGACGCACGCCTTTAATGTCAGCACTCGGGAGGCAGAGGCAGGCGGATCTCCGTGAGTTCAAGGCCAGCCTGGTCTACATAGTGAGTTCCAGGACAGCGGGGGCTACAGGGAGACCCTGTCTCAAAAAGACCAAAAAAAAAATCGTTTTGTTTTGTTTTGTTTGAGACAGAGTCTCCCTGTAGCCGTGGCTCACCTGGAACTTGCTATATAGACCAGGCTGGCCTTAACTTCACAGAGATACACCAGCTTCTGCCTCCGGAGTGCTGGGATTAAGGGTGTATGCTGCCACGCCCAGATAAAAATAT